CGGGGGGGGGGGGGGGGGCTGCATTTTCCTTTGTGGTTCGTTACAACGTGTTACGCAGGGAACGTTGACGAAAAGTTGGGGTAGACGGACACGTCTCAGGTTCGGCCGGAGAAACGATCTCAAAAACATTGCGGGGTGCATGAACAAAGGAACCGGGCCGATTCGGTCCAAATGGTGCGCAACTTTCTGTGGGTCACGTCCGTTGTCTAGGTAACAGCCGCAACGAAAACTGCTATAGCCCCGCGTTTGTGCATAAATCGGAGAAATATGCCGGAAAAACCAAAATCCAACCTTTCCGGTCGTGAGGGAAGAATATGGGAGATCCGGGAAAGCGGAGCGGAAAAATGGAATGGACATATTCTGTGCTAGGCGTGACCTTGAGAGTTCAAACAGATTCAGGGAACGAAGAGGTACGGATGTTGAGTCACGTGATATCTGAATGTGGATGTTTACGTAAGCTGACTTGTGCACGAGTCATGGGTTTTGACAATGGGTACATTTTCGTACAAAACGGTGCAACAGCGTTTTGTGTTTCACGGGTTTTAAGACTCGCTCTCATTCTGCTCGGGCTCTTAAGTCCGCTATTTAACGATATCAGCTGTGCCGCGCGTGTGTGTAATCAATCTCTGCGTTAACAGCACGCCAGCAGCCCACAACAATACCACAGCTTCTCTAACGAACGCATCCTCTGTCTAATCTTATCAACTCGAGTGTTTTTTTACACCCACCACTCCGAACCGTTCAAAAACCGTTTTGTCTCGTACAACGGTGGAAAATACTCAGAATCGTGCGCGGCATATTCAGCGCTGATCGTTTTGTCATGGCACTATGCATCCGCGCCGAACTACTGGCTGGCAACGATCATGGACCATACACTACTATATATATGCGTGGAGTTTGCCAAACTGCTAAAGTTGGCATCTCAGAGCCGCAGCAAACGGCTCATCGACCATCTTCCCTCCCATGCTTGGCGCTTTTGAAGCCCACTGACCGATCGTATTGTTAAGCTTCCCGTTCTTTTTCTGTAATGCCCGTAGCCTGGTCGTCGTCGCCCGTGAAAAGTGCGACAAAACTCGAAGTGGAGAGACCTGAGATGGAAAACCTGTTCGCATTCAGATCGCCGCGTGAGTCTATTTATTCCAGTCCCAATTCGTACCCAAGATCGTTGCTGGACGCCTACACCGATGAGCTTTCCCCGGTGGCTTCGCTAGCCAGCCATATTGACGCTGATGCAATCGTCAATGCACACCAACAGAGCGGCGCTGCTGGCAGTGCCGCCAGTGCCGCCGGCGCAGCCAAACCGAGCACCCTTTCGTTTGGCAAGCGCTACAAAATGAGCATGACGCTCAAACCGCGCGAGATTGAACTTGCCCGTAATTCGTGGTCAATTTTGCTCGATAACGAGTGCTCAAAACAGAAGTACGACGATTTCGTCAACAAGTGTCTGAAAAAACCCAAGAAGAGCGTTCAAAAGACCAAGCCGGGCCCCATTGCAGGCAATGTCGCCCTTTCAAGTTTCTTGTTCGGTACACAGTTTCTAGCCAATATTTTGGACCTCGCTCCAGAAATCGAAGATGCGTTCCCGACCATCAATCACGCGGCATCTGCTGTCACAGGTGTCCTTACCGCAGCGGTGGACAACTTGGAAGATTTAACCGTGCTCGACGAGTACTTATGTGGTCTGGGGAAACGCCATTCGAGAATTCTCGGCGTTTGCGCCGTACATTTCCGCGTGGCTGGCGTGGGTTTCATGAAAACGCTTCGAGATCGTTTTGGATACGACATAACCAGAGAGCTCGAAAACGTATGGCTCAGACTTTACCTATACCTGTCGAACACCATGCTGCAATTTGGAATAGACCCTGTCATCGTCGAGAATGAGATATGCAACGTGGTTCTGGAACCACCGGCGGTGTTGGAAAGGCAGCCTACAAACAGCAGTGCCGAGTCATCAGCCCAAAGCGATTTCTCGCAAGAACCGATCTCGCTACGGTCTGGCGGATCCTCGGAACGGAGCAATTACACCACGACTAGCGGTTCCTTCATGTTCAAATCGTCATTTTTGAGAAGACCTGCCTCTGAAAGCAATGCTTCTGGAAGAACCCAAAGTTCGGGCGCTTCAAGTTCTGCGAGTCGCGTGCCGAAAACAGTGCGTGGTGGTGGCGCTAATGCCGCTTTGAAAACGGGAGGGAAATGGGTTCCCGTCAGCTCGCTGCCGAAAAACACGTACACCACTGTAGTCGTACAAGAGACTTCTCATAAGGGTGGTTCCGTAAGAGGTGGTGGTGGTTCTTATAAGCTCGTACGTGTAGATGCATCACAAATGGCAGCCTACCGAGCGGGAAATAGTGCTGAACAGCAAGCGAATATTTCTCTGCGTCAACGGCACGAACAAATGATGAGGGAGTACGCAGCCAGATCAGGTGGTGCTAGAGGAGGTGGTGGTGGTGGCGATTGTAGTATTATGTAAATTCTAACGCAATGATATTTTTGAAAAGAAGCAATCGCGGGCTATGCTATGATTACATTACATAGAGGCATGATCGGATTGCCCAGTGACAAGCATCGATGATCCAGCTAATTGCGAATTCCCTGTGACGTTTGAGCCTGTCAAGATTCCATAAGGTGCCTGGGTCTTTCCTGTATTTTACATAAACTCTTCTCATGTACCACGTGACTCGTTCTCATGGAGTGTGACACAAAAACAGATCTGCTGGGCGCATACATATAGAAAGTACGGCTAGCACCAAATTCCTACCATTCCCAGTACACACCACTTTTAAAGAAATAGAACAAATAGAACAACGTTTAGAATTTATGTCTCTTATCTATACAAGGCCCATGTAACATTCTGTAATACTACATAGTACTTCGCGCTGCTCCTCCCCGCATCCGCTCCCCGTAAAGAACCAGAACGACAGTCGCGATGGCCCCTACAACAAGCACTGCTGCCGAAATAGTGGATGTCCACCCGATTCCAACGTTATTGATCGCTTGCAGACAGGTTGCCGACCCTACCGCCGACGCAAAAAAGCGTATCATATAGTTGCCGCCAACCGCGCCGCCGCCGATCTCCACTGCCATCGAATCTATGCAGTAGCTGTTTATCGTTGGGAAGACGCATGTCTGGCATAGCCCGTTCAGAAACATGCTGATCACTGGCAGGGCGTACCCGCCTTTTCGTGTCTGTATCGACCAGCCGTACGCGATCATGGACGCGGGACTGAACACGCCAAAAAACACGAGAGTTATTCGCAGCCGATCCTCGGGAACACGCCTGCCACGCTTTTGGATGCTTTTCCTCACCTGGTAATCTGACAACTTGCCGCCCATGAGCGATCCCACCAGGTAGCCCATACCTGGCGCTAGATAGAAAAGCCCCCCGTACAGCGGTACCGTGATGCCAAAACGCGGATCTACCACGAGCCGGATTGGCGTCAGTAACGAGTACATGTTGTACATTAGGGCCATCGAAGCTATGCCTGCTAAGATGAGACTAGGATATTTGAGTGATGTTATCGGACGCACAAAGTTGAAAGGTAAGAAAACAAACCTTCTTTTCTTGGAAGGATCCGCCAATACCTCCGGCCGTGCATTAAAGTCGCGGACCGCTGCGACATGCCGATTATTGGGTTTGGTTTCGGGCAGGAAAAAAAATCCGAGCACGAACATTATGCCGCCTAGAATTGCCAAAATGTAAAATATCAATCTCCAAGACGAATACGTCACTATAATAGCTCCAAAGGTGGGCCCCAGCGGAGGTCCGATCTGACTTCCAGCGATATTCCATCCCATTGCGCCGCCTCGCTTTTCTGGCGGGTAGATGTCCCCAATAACCTGGGCACCGATGGTAAAGAAGGCCGTGCCAAAAAATGCAGTTGTTGCACGGAATATAAAAAACATGGCTAAGTTCTGGGAGCAACCAACTAGTACCGTGGACAACACACAAAAGAACATGCAAATTAGAAAAGCTGGCTTTCTGCCGTAGGTATCACTAAACGGCGCCCAAAAACACGAAAGACCCATGCACACGTTGTACACAGCATTGGAGATATTAATCATTGAGCTTGTTGTGTGAAAGCGCCGTGCAATGGTTGGTACTGCCGGCAGGAACGCCAGCCCTGCCATTGGTGTGAGGAAACAGGCCGCAGAGCATATCGCTACTACGGCGTTCTTGCGAGCATCCGAGAAAACGTCGGTTGTGGCATTCTCATTAACAACATCTTCAGAATACTCGATGCTCTGCTCTTTAGAGGCCATGTCACGTTCGCTCATTCTGATGGTACGCGAAGAGTTGATCACATTACGCCCAAGGCTAAAATGCAGTCGGCTTCTTTTATGACAAAAGTGCTGGTACACCATCGACCACACTGGTTTGAACGCTGGCGTTTCATCCTAGTAGAAACTTATCTTGACGCTTCCGCTGTTAGGTCGGCAATTTCCTCGCTTGGCGTATCTTTCCGCCCCCAAATGAAATCTAGATGAAGATCGTAACTCTTTTCAGATAATAGTAAAGGAAGTAAGCTAACACATTTTGAGACCTTGGAAATGAGTTAAAAGCGGGCACTAAAGGCTTCCCACAATGCCTTTGTTTCCGGTTGTCTCAACTCTCACTACTGCCTGTCGCTATTAACATTATCACTCATACAAATGTCTGATAAAAAAAATGTATTGCTCATTGGAGCCGGAGGTGTAGGAACCATTGTCGCCTACGGGATTGACTATGTTGGCAAGTCGAACCTTTCGATCGTTGTGAGACGGGACTACGTCAAAGTCAAAGACGCTGGATATGACATTAGTTCTGTGGACTACGGAAACATTAAAGGCTGGAAACCCGCGAATATTTACCCCAACGTCGATGCTGCAGCGGCTTCTGGAGAAGTCTATGATTTCATTGTCATTGCCACAAAAAACCTGCCCGATATTGTCAAGATGGAAGAACTGGTGAAACCTGTAGTTGTCCCAGGAAAAACAACCTTAGTTTTAATGCAAAATGGATTCGACCTCGGTCGTCCGTTTTTTGTCCATTACCCTAAAAATGTCATTTTGTCAGGAGTTTCGCACATCGGCTCGCACAACAGCGGCGGTGTGATTTGTCAAACGCAGAAGGACAAAGCTGTGGTTAGCTACTTTGAGAATCCAAACCTATCTAAGGAGCAGCAGGAAACCAAAGCACATGAGTTTATTTCCCTCTACAGCAATGACAAGAACGATTGTGTTTACTTTGACGATGCCAAATGGTATAGGTACAGAAAACTGGTGTACAATGCATCGTTGAACACAGTGTGCGCTCTCACGGGTGTTGACACCGGGAGGCTGGCATTTTCAGGTGGGCTGGACACTGTGTCAATACCTGCCATGCGAGAAGTTGTGAAAATTGCCGAGGCAGACGGAGTCAAATTACCAAGCGACGTCATTAACTCTGTTGTACACTCCGATGACGGCGACTGGTTCGAGCCATCGATGCGCGTGGACGTGAAGAAAGGCAATCCTGTTGAACTTGAGGTGATTTTGGGCAATCTTCTCAAGGTCGCAGGAGAATTGGGAGTCGAGACTCCAATTTTGACAGTCGTTTACAATTTGCTTAAGGTCGTCCAGTTTCGCCTGAAAGAGGAGCAGGGACTTATCACATTGCCAAAAGAGCGTCCAATTACTGATAGAGTTTTTAAGTAGATGCATTAACTAAGGTGTTTGATAGTGGTGATCAATTATATGTCTGTATCGAATCTTGTTTCAACTAGTATCTATCTACTTAGATTGCAATCGAATCTTGTTTCGACTAGTATCTACTTAGATTGCAGTCAATGAATGGTTTTCAATTATAGCTTACATGTCTCTCTAACAACCCAGTCGCTTTCGGTGGCCATGAGCTGGTTGCATAAGGCCCGTGGATCGTCTACACCTTTGTTAATGGCATTCAGCGGTTCTCTCTTGCGTTGCCAGGAGAAAAGTTCCTTAAGGAAAGCATTCTCGTTGGTCTCCTCGATGATATCAGCGATGACATCACCAATACTGCCAAACATCATAAATGCGTGGCCGGAGTCACCAGCAATGGTGAAAAGAGATCTATTTGCATAGAAAGGACAGTAAGATATCAAAAAGTCGTTGTCCTCGCTGTCCGAATACCAACATAGTCTGGTTTTGTCTAGTTTCTTGACCTCTGGAATATGCTCCTTGATGAATTGCTTGATTAACTTCAACCCAAATAACGGTACGTTTTCCTCTGGATCATCACTAAAAGCAGTCTTGACCTTTGAGTTGAGCATTTTGGTTGGATTCGTCCATTTCAAACCTCTGTATCCAATCTTCATGAACCCGTTTCTCACAGGAAAACCATAAAGGCCTCCGATACCCTTTTCCCTAACGTCGAAGGTCCATGTTGGAAACTTCTCCTCGCTATACTTTTCCAATGCTTTGGGATCCGTAATTTTCATTAAAGCCACGGTACCGCCTGTTGCTTCCACTTTCTCCGCAGCTTCAGGGACTACTTCTGTCGTCCATGGTCCACAGGCCGTGATAGTCAAATTCGCGACATGGAGCTGCCCGTCGCGAGTTTTGATCCCCATGCATTTCTTTTCAATTGTACCCTTGACGTAATCCACCAAAAGATGGTCGATCGCGCCCTGCCATGGCCCAAAATGCGTGTGGAACGAAGCAGCGAATTCTGTGCGACACAGATGCAAAACCCATCTACATGCTTTGTCTGCAACTATCATACCACCTGTGGTGTCAAGTACGCCCTGGAGGTGCTTTCCACGCCGCTTCATCTCAAAAGGATCCACCGATGAGGCTGGCTGTCCTATAGCACGAGCCCTTTCAGTCGCATCCACGTCAGACACACAAATGGCCTGAGAGGAACTCATGTTCTGCAGTGTAAGCTGTTCGAAGGGAGGTAGAGTGTGATGGCTTGTGAGATGAACATTACCGCTATTAAAGTAAATGGGCTGGCCACCTTCGAAATCGCAATCTTTGATTCTTTGGTTCCATTCTAAAAAGATCTTTCTGCTGTCCAGTGACATTTTCTGATAATGCGTCTGTTCCCCATACGCAGCTCGAAAAATCTTGTTCATATCTGAGCTTGGGCTGTCACATCCTTTGAAATAGTTATATCCAAGATGCACGTAGTCTCTTTTGTCGAAGATGTGGACGTTTCTATATCCTCTTTTTAGGAGGGCATAAGCGGTGGAAAGTCCCGACACACCGGCACCTACGATAATAACAGCTTCATCAAACATCATGGTTCTGGCACTTCAAGCCCAAAAATGCTACACGAACGTTGGTGAACGTCTTTGAGAGTACCGGTATATATCGTGGTTCAAGCATCAGTGAAATCGCTCGAGAACGACAAGTCACCGATCATTATGCAGAAAGCGATAAGATAAGGTCGGGCCCTTGGCGTATCAAAGCGCACTGACCGTAAGCGTATTGATACGCTTGGAGTCAAGAGAATAGTTTTGAATAAATGCGCCTGATGACGGGAAGAAGATTGCATGGGGACACAACAAACGACTGTGTCTTTTGATGTAATTTTGCAGCTATGCTAAGGTGCCGCGAAAGGCAAGGCGTTGTTACGAGATTCCGCTGACAGCGACAGATTAAGAAAATATGATCAGTATTTGAATTATCCATGAAGTGGGAAGGTCGAGCCACTAACAAGGTGACTCCTGATGATGAAGAATCCGCTTCTCGCAAATTGATGTTGAAACCTTTTCTTCGATTTTTGAGGTTTGAGATCTCTCACTTTTGTTAGAAGATGCTGTCCCGCTGCCTTACCACTATAATACTATAATAAAGCCTAAGCCTGTCTAGAAGCGATACAAATTATCTTAAAGTTTGATTTATAGTACCATTACCATGGACAAGTCATCATGGGGAGTTAGCAACGAAGTCAATGGAGGTGTAAGTGAGTGCCAATCTATGTGATGCGATGATCGAAAGAGCTTGATGAAATCATGTTGATGTCGGTCCACACTGGACTGAATTCGAGGATTTTTTTCTGCGATGCGAGCTAGACGTATATCCATCTAACCATTTCTTAAGAATATTAAAAATTTACGTACGAGCACTTTTACCCTAGAGCGAATATCTGAAAGCAGGATTTTCCTTGTCCGTCAAATCCGCAAACTCCAAATTTTTAGGTTCTGCGTAATCGACTCCCAGCTCCTCCCTCTTTTTGTCCCGCGCGTGGTTGTCTCTCTTATTTAGCCAATACATTAAGGCGATACAGATATCACCAGTAGCGAAAGAAACGAGCATCGCAATTTTGGCACCACTATAGTTGGGAGACTGCGAGGCTCTGAAGGTTTGAGGACCGACTATATTTCCCACGCAGTATCCGACTAGAAATAATGTATTAACGGTAATCTTCTTGGTGTACCCAGCGGTGTTAGACGAGATACAGGAGACAACTCCAGAAACTACTGCTGTCGCTGCGTAAAACGAAAGGTATCCAGCCAGTTTGGAACCCTTGTGCGAGGTGAAGTTCAACAAGCACATCCCTACAATAACAATCGAGTTAACAATCAAGCACACGATAAGTCTGTCGCCCTTGAAAAGCTTTGTACTCATGAATGCCACGATAAATGGAATTACAATATCAATACCACCGCCAGGCATACTCATCAAAAGTGAATCCTTAGTAGAAAACCCAAAATCTTTCTTTAGTAGAATGGAACCAAAATTGGTGAACCCGCCATTGGGAATGGCATACGACATACCGTAGACAAAAAAAATCAACGTCCTGATGTCCTTGAAGGTTTCGCGGAGCTGTCTCATTTTAAAGTGCTGATTACCGAATCCTTGCTGGTTACTTCTGATTCTCTCCACACAGTACTTTTTCTCTGTTTCATCTAAGAACCAGGCTTTTACCGGAATGTCAGGAATGTGAACAGTAGAGATCAACCCGAGGAAAACGGTAATGATCCCAGTGATCACGTAAAGGAGTCTCCACGACGGCATAGTGTAGTGGTGAGAAACCAGCCCATAAGCGATTCCACCGCCAAGTATCGATCCAAAGCCCTGGAACCCGAACCAAATGCAGGATCTCATGAATTGTTCGCTCTTTTTGTACCATTGAGCTGTCAACAGAATGTATGCGGGGTTCATGAAGCCCTCAAAGGTGCCCAGCAGAACACGACATGCCAGAAATGAAGCTGACGAACGGCATGCTGCGTGGCACATAAGAACCACTCCCCATAGAACAATGGCGACCCCAAGCGTCTTGGATAGGGGGAATCTTTGAAGTAGCAAGTTTGCGGGAAATTCAAAAAAGAGATAGCCGAAATAAAAAGAGCTTCCCACCCACGAATACTCTTGGGCAGTCATGTTCAGATCTTTCGTCAAACCCATGATCGATGCGTACGAGTTAGTCGTTTTGTCCATTTGCTGGCAGGCCATTAGTGCACACACCAAGGGGAGGATGCACCAGTCAATTTTCCGGATTAATGCCCGTTCGATCTTCTGGTCCAGAACGATATTCTGCGAGTCCAATACATAGTCCATAGCTTGGTCTGCATCTCTGTCGGTAACTTCTATAATTGCGCCCTCGATGGAGCGAATAGAGGTTATAACAGGGGCTTTTTCTGCCTCAAAAGGCAGTTTTTCATTCGTTTGGGTGATACCGCTCATTATAGAAATCGGTTACAGTGAGCTGTGATGGTCTTCCACTGACTGTACCCGATAGAGAGCATAACGTAATGACTACAGGTCAGAAATAAAAAAACTAAGGCTCAACTTATACATGTTGCAAATGAACATCTATAGAGATTAGGAGCTTCGCCAAATGCCAGTCGTGTTGGTGTTGTTAAGAATTCCAGCTTATCGATTTTTCTGCTTCAACTAAACTTCGTAGTGATAAACGTAATTCTCCGACATTAATTTATATAACCTCTGATAGACAACAACGGCGAATTACAACCAGGCGTATCTTTCCGAACATCAAGCAACACCGACACGACCAACCTAAAATTGATCAAATGCCCTTTCCAAATTGCTGAACATATCTTTTATGAAGGTGTCAGCAGTGCTACTGAGAAAATCCCATACTGTCTCGCTTGTCGTATCAACGACGCCAAGTTCCGCACTGGGAGGGAAATTGCTGGTTTTGCCCTGCGGAAAACTGAAAGAAATACCATCGGTTGAAGAATGGGCAAAACTAGTAGAGCTGGACTGGAAATCAGAATCATAGTACAGATTCTCTGGATACCTCGGCTGGTCCTGTGGTGTGGTGTTCGGGTTCAAATCCGGCGACTGTAGTAGATCGTTGGTACTTACACCACTCTCCACGTATGCCAGAACCGCACTAGATAAGTGTTCGAAACTGTTTCGAAACATTTGAGCTCCTTCCCATCGCTCTGCCAGAACGTATAGTATATTAGAGCATGCCGATATTGTATCGTAGACAATTGTTTTCCGTGCTAGCTGCAAGAATTTGAGCGATGTGTCCAGCCATATGCAGTAAAGAAAAGTGACGCCCGCGACAAAAACGCACTGAATGGCCAGCCAGGTGTAGCTGAGTTTTCCTTTAGCGTGTAAGTATTTGTAGTTCAGGCAAATCGCGGACGCTGATTGTGTAAAAACAGTGAACCAGTCAATGGTCGCAGGCGACGTCTTTGTGTTTTGCTTTGAGACCTCCAAAACTACAGGTCTCAGTAACAATAGAACAGAGTTGTGGTACGATATGGTGCACCAGTTTTCCGTTTCCCATGTCGTTTCCGCATCGCGTTTATACGGAAATGTCGACTTCCACTCGTTCAACTCCAACATAATCTGGCGCCTGATAGCGTTCATCTCCTCTGTGCTCGTAGGAGAAGGCCTTGGTTTGTAGACGAAGGTGCAAATACTTGACTGTAGCATTCGGAGTTTGAAAACATGAACTGAAACAGCATATTGTTCAGACTCTGGTAACGGTACATCAATGTCGGCGTCTGCAATCCCAAAAGGACGGCCAAGTACCAAGCCGTTAATCCGCTCCATGCTATAGGTACACCAAAAAATGCGAGATTTCAGATCCTGATCGCGGTTAGCGGTTAACGAACAACTCACTTTGCCTGTCTGGTAGGGCTTCCTGTGGAGTCCCAATGCTACTGCGGTTCTGAGAGCGAGTCCGGTCGTTTGCCAGATGGAGCTTCCGTGTGGCATTTTTTGTGAGAACACGCTGAGAAGCAGATATGCTTGTACAGCCCGAATCGATGTGCCCTCGACAATGGGGCCGATATGGTCAAACGCTTTGTCGTAGTAGGCACGGGTGTGGTGATCTGAGCAAGTAACACCAGAAGATTCTAACAACTGGCTTCCAATGGCAAACAAAATGTAAACGAAAAACAGCGACTCATTATCGTCGGTGTCGCTCTGAACCACCTTTTCAAAGCAAGCCAATACCCATTCCCAATCGAGAAACGGATATTGAAATTGCACTCCAGAGTAATATGCCTCGATAAGTTTTTGTCCATTAGTTATAGTTGGCTTTTGAAATCGCTTTTCTGTCTCCAAAATCGGACCTTCCAAATTGCCGGATGCAGTGATTGAGAAACGGCCTGAACCGTTAGGCTGAAAGTCTCCCTTTTGTTTTTGATAGTGATATATGGTACTGTGGATAGCCCTGGCGATGGAATAAGCACTGCTCAGGCCGATGTACCGGGGTTCTCCGGCGGCTGCTAGGGTGATGTAGCCTACCTCTAATGGAAGTCCATTTTCAGTAACACTGTCTGATTCTTCGCTGCTTTCCTTTTCATTGAGTGCGGCACTCTCATCTCTAGAATTACTACTCGATACTTCGGATCTCTTTTCGAGCTTCTTTTTCAGAAGCTCGATCTCAAGCTCCAGCGTTTCCAAATAGTTTCTTGGCACTTCTCTGCCGGTAGAGATGTCCACGACCGTGCAGGAGATACCATTCAGCTTGCAGGAGCCGCAAGATGGATATCCTCCGTCGCATTTTTTTCGCCTTTTTTTGCAGAAACAGCAAGCTCCCGTCTGATGCTTGCTGCTAGTGCGGGTTTTGGGCACTTTGCGGACCCATTGTGAGCCTGTTGCGGATGCCGTAGAGACAGTAGCATCTTCACAATGAGCACTGGCGTCCTTTGATAACATTTCAGAGGAAAATAGCAGACCCAGGAAAACGAAGAAATTATGCCAACTCTACCTACTGGCAAGGAGTATTCTCAACGAGATATACTCTTCACACACCGTCCCCGTATTCTTCCTCTCATTTTAAGTACTATATGTCACTGTCGTATCTTTCCTCGATAAGATAAATCAAAAAGGTAACACACCGAGTTAAAAGAAACTAATTAAGGCCTGGGCAGGTATAAGTGCTTAGAGAGAGTTTCTTGGTGCCTCCGAGCGTAGAACAATAATGCATTGGCAAGGTGTCTTACGTTTAATCGTCATCCATATCTACTCACGGTTAAAGTGCCTGTCCAAAATTCTCAAAGTCAGCTAATACTCTTTCAGTTCAGTGGATTCTCTGTCACACTCTATTGCTGAAAACTTCCTCTCTTAATACAGGTTAGCCCAGTACTTATATATTACAACACATTAAATACTGGCGAGACTAGGTGCTGTGTTTGTTTGGCAGAAATTAGTCCAATCTCTCACCAAAGCGTTGACCACCATAGCATTGAACTTTCCAGTGTCCACACCGGTGATCATGGTGGCTTTTCCGGTCCGGACACCCTTCTTGGGNCATGGTGGCTTTTCCGGTCCGGACACCCTTCTTGGGACGTAGATCAGATGGGAACATTCTCAAACTACCGTAGAAAGGAGACGAAAAGGATGTGTCAACGGAGACGTAGGCCTCGTAGGACCCAGTAACGATTTCTGGTCTTGCAGCGATGGCCGACGCAACCTCGTCCCAGAAGGGGAGATTGAAACCGGGCAACGTTCCGTTTCCAACAGTCTCCTTTACG